ATTTTTTATTTCTTGTAATTTTTTTTTGGTATTAATTTAATATTAAAGTTTTATTAATTTGATCATTCATTTCTGACGAGTCTTTATTGATGAAATACAGTGCTAAATGAAAAATTTTTGTTGATTTTCTACTAATTTATTATTGATCTGTTTTTTTAGGAAGTGATTTTCTACTAATTTATTATTGATCTGTTTTTTTAGGAACATTGAGCACTCTATTTTGTAGAACACATTTTAAAAATGTTTATATATATATATAATATGGACACCCAATTTGTCGGTAATGTTAGAATTTGATTACATGTCTTTAAATAATAATAAGGTACAAATAGTGTCTGGAACTTTTTTTCTGTGTTTGGAAAATGACTATTATTTGCACCAATGTTTTAATTTGAAATTTTTTAAAGATTTTTATAACATTTTTGAACAACTTATAGAATCCATCAATCAAGGGGAAAAAAAACCTAACTAAAAACCAAAACAGTAATTTGGTAAACTTCATTAGCAAATAATGAAATAATATTGAACAATTAGTCAGGTTATATGTACTATTTTTGAATTTCCAAAAAACTAAAAAAATATCAAAAATTGAAGTTTCCAAATTACTTTTTATAAAAAAATGAAAAACTTAGGACTTATGTAAATATTTTTTATTGTACATTGTTTTCTCACGGTAAACACACTATGATACGATCGTAGTTTTTCACAGAAAACACACTATGATGTGAGATTAGTTTCCTAACTGTAAACAACACACTAAAAAATAAAAAGTTTTTTTTATTTTCACAAAATCAAACTCTGAATTTAAAAGCTTGAAAATGTTTTCAAGTTTTTGAGGCCTAGCACAAGTATCTTCAAATAAACTTTTTTCAAAATCTTAGGCCCAATCTTATCTACAGTGATAGCTTCATGCTCTGTTTGTTACATAAATGAAGCAAATTTATCTAAAAGAGATTTTTTTCATTAATTTTTAATGTTTGATCAGCTCTACCAGCAACTTCAAAATCAAACTGCTTTCTGTGGATAAAGTCTGTTTAAAAGTGAAGCCAGAGATATTACTTTACATTTTTTTATTTTTAGACCAAACTGATCCTTTTACTTTACCTAAGTGTCTGGAGATTTTTAATATTGTATTAAGTGTACAAGATCAGGATTTATTCTCTCTTGAATTTAGACATCAAATTTTTTAAGGAGAGCAAGGCTTATTGATGTCTCTTGATCTTTCAGCTTCTTAACAGCAAATTTAGTAACTTTTTTAGCAAGCAAAAGATCAGCCTCTTCCTTGCATAAAGATTCTACAGACATCTCAATGGGAGCAAGAGTATTGCATAGTTCTTTAATCCTCTCTAACTTTTTATCGGAAACATCAAATTTTTGTTCAAGATGGATCATTGCTACTTTAACTTTATAAAATCTTTCTAGCATTTTAATAAGGCTATTCCATCGCATTTTACAGTCTAAAAATAAAGCCTTTTCTTTTCCAAAGGATTGAATATTTTGAGGTTGAAGATTTTCATCATTTCTGATTTTCTGAAAACAATTTTATGAAATTAAGCAATGATAGCAGCAATATCAGTAAGGTCTCAGTGCTTAGTTCAACACATTTCTATATTGTTTCTTCAGAATCTTATTTCTCTTAAATTTTATCAAAAATTAAATCATCGTTTATCTTATGAGGCTTATAAAGTATGTTGCAAACACAAAGATGGATTGCATGTGCAAGACAACCAACAAAAATGGGACTGGTCTTTATTCCAAATTTCATCATAACACTTGCACCATCAGATTGTTGCCACAATCTCATTGTCCAAATTCAGACAATCTTGACTTAGAAAGTTGAATAGCTTTTTCAGTGTTCATGGTTTTGTTGAAACAGATCATTCCAAATGATTGAAAACTATCTAAAACATGTAAGCTCACATTCATAAAACGATGTTTCAGACTGAAGTGGATTCGTCAAAGCTAATAGAAAAACAACCTTCTTCTTTAATCTTTTGAATGTCAAAACTTTTTTATTAAAATAATAATAAAATAAGAACTTTAATCATTTAAAAAAAAAGGATTTTTTTTTAGGGTTGTTAAAGCAGAAAAATTACTGGTTTCTATTAACAGTTCCTGCAATAGTTCCTCTATTAATAGTTCCTGAAAAATTAATGGTTTTTATAAACAGTTCCTGCTAATGTTAACATGTAACCCAGTACAATCTGCTTCATGTCCTGCTGCCTTGTAGGATACGCTTCTTTAGGCAAAGACTAAGAGATGTCAACACCAACATAAAACACCCTCTGTTTTGGGGCTCTTGGTTGAGTAAAGGCTAGAGATGGTGGCTCGATAAAAACACTCATCTTGAGTAGATGTTAAATGCATCCAGCTACAGTCTTGTAGAAGACCTCCTAGGCAAATACTTAAGGGGTAAACAGATTCTATCTGTTGACCAGCCTCGCACCCCTTCTTCATCTGTTAGGCTGACGCAGATGTTTTTTTAATACACTGTTTCCAGTTTAGGATGTTGATGCTGGATCTTCTTGATTCAATACATGGGCTTTGCTAGTATCTCTGTTCTTATGACTAGGCAACTCATTTCACATGACTAGGCAATTCAATTACCTCCTAATGAGGGTACAGCTCTAAAACTCAGTTTTGTGGTTCTGAGGCCGGCTGGTAGTCAGGTTTCCCAAACTCAGTGGTAGCTCTCAGAGAGGCTGATTTCATCAACAGCTGAAAAATATCAAAGCATTATCAGTGCCATGTTTGTTGGAAAACTAGGTTTGAATCCACAGACTACTCTTTTATGTGCTTTTGTTTAGCACCATTTCACTTTATCACCTTTCTCTTAGTTCTATATCGCTCTCCTTCATCTCAAGACTGCACTCTTTTTGATGATGTTTCTAATCATATTGACGTAGCCCTCTCTCTTTATCCATCAGCTAATATTGCTGTTGTCTGTGACTTTAATGCTCATCACACTGAATGACTTGGCTCTAGTGTCAGTGACTCTGCAGGCATTAAAGCCCACAACTTTTGCCTTTTTCAATCCCTAAATCAAATAGTCAACTTTCCAACTTGCTTTCCAGACAACCCAAATCATTTACTTTCTCTACTCGACTTATGTCTTGTTTCTGATCCTAGTCAGTGCTTAATTTCTCCATATTCATTCTTAGGTGCCTCTGATCACAGTTTGATCTCTCTAAAACTATTATCTCATTCTTTTTCATCATCAGAATCCCCCTATCATTGTACTACCATTAACTACCATCCCATTAGTCTTCTTCCTATCATAAGCAAGGTTTTTGAATCTTTAATTAACAAACACTTAATCTCTCATCTTGAATCAAATAACTTACTTTCTGATCATCAATAAGGATTTTGATCTTCTTGTTCTACGACTGATTTACTAACAATAATAACCGACGGGTTTTATCATGCATTAGATAAAGATGAAGAGATTAAGGATATCGCTTTTGATATTTCTAAAGCTTTTAATAAAGTTTGGCCTTATTCATAAGCTTTCTTCTTACGGTGTCTTTGGTAACATTCCTAAGATTATTGAATCCTTCCTTTCCAATCGTAGTATAAAAGCTGTCCTTGATGGAAAGCACTATTCTTTTTATTCTGTAACCTCAAGGGTTCCTCAAGATTCAATTGTTGGCTCTATACTCTTTTAAATTTACATTAACGATCTTACAGATACTCTCACATCTAAGGTGGTATTGTTTTCTGATGAAACTACCATTTATTTTTGTCATGATAAGAAACCAACACTTTCTAATTGCTTGGAGAGGGCATTTGAGCTTGAAAAGGATCTCACTTCTGCTACAGCATGAAGCTCACAGTGGTTGGTGACCTTTAATTCAGATAAAACTCAATTTTTTTCAGCCAATCTTTATTACAATAATTTAGACCTTTTTATATTATTGAAAGGTGATGTACTCGATGAGTCATCTACTCTTCATCTTCTAGGATTAAATCTTACTTCCGATCTCTCTTGGAAACCATATTTCAAATCCGTTGCAAAATTAGCATCTACTAAAGTTGCATCTCTTTATCAAGCTTGACACTTTCTTAATCTGGATTCAATTCTCTATCTCTATAAATCTCAAATCCGACCTTGTATGGAACACTGTTGCTATATCTGGGATGAATCTTCTAATGATGCTAGTTCTCTTTTAGACAAGGTGCAAAAATGCATTGTAAACATAGTTGAACCTGCTCTTTCAGCCAACCTTCAACCATTATAACATCGTCGTAATGTTGCTTCTCTTTCTTATTTCTACAAATACTATAATAGGCACTGCTCTAAAGGGCTAGCGTCTCTTGTGCCATCTATTAAAATTCAATCTGGTGTTACTCATCATTTAATTTAGTCTGATCCTTTTTCTGTGATTGTTCCTAAGTGCTTCAAAAACTCTTATTCGTCTAGTTTTTTTCCTCGAGCATCAGTTCTTTGGAATTCGCTTCCTTCATCTTGCTTTCCTGATTCATATAATTTGCAATCTTTTAAGTCGTCTGTCAATGTTGCTTTACAATTTTCATCTTTTCTCTTCCAGTAACTTCCAACTCTAATTAGTGGTTGCTTGCAGCCTTGTTGGAAGCAAAGATGTTTAAAAAAAAAATCTATAATAATTAGATAAAAATTTTAACAACAAATTTAATATTCACTTGAATATATTATAAGTAGTAGAACGAATAATATAAAATTATTATTAAATTTTAAACGTTTTCAAACAAAGATAAGTGTGAAAGCCAAATTAAAGAAGAGTTATGAAAAGATTATCAGGGGTTATTCTAGATTGTTTTTGATGGCGCTGATCGTATTTGAGCGCTGCCCAAAAAATGTTGTTTTTTTTTGCAAAAAAATCCCTACATCAGGCAATATTTCTGCTAAATATTGTCAGGACAGGGGGGGAAGAGGTTCTCCTGCCCAAATTAGTTTCCTAGAATAGCCCCTAATTATATAAGTTATATTTTAAATAAACATTTCAGAAAAAAAAAACACTTACATAATTAAAATTGAAGGAATAATATACAAACTTCCAGGTACCAGAAAAAAGTATCCACTTTGATTAATCTTAATGTAGAGATAATTAAAAATCTGAGTAAGCAATAAAATGAATATTTGATCTAAGCAAGCCATTATTGAAAAAATTGAACCTAAAAAATGTTAATTTATTGTTGATGATAAAAGAAAGGATTTTATAAAGAAAAAATAATAAAAAATTTATAACTGTTTAAACATAAAATAAAACCAAAAATAGTTTAAAAAAACTTTAGTTCAACAAAATATTTTGTTTAAAAAAATTAATATAAATAAAATATAGCTTTTTATAAGGAATTTTTACACTACAAAACAATGTTTTGCAGTGTAAATACTACATTTTGCTGCAAGTTTCAAACATTCAGCAAAAAAATCAGGCCATTTAATTTTAGTACACCAAGAAATATCAAGCATACCAAGTGTTTTTGAATCAATAGCTGTTAATAACTCTATGAGCATAAGATCTATTTTGTCGCATTAGAATTAGGGCTCTATCTGCTTTTTTTTATGTTGTGAGAACTTAACTTTCAATATTTATTTAATACATGTTTTACAGCTGTTATTCATTATAATTATAAATTATAAGTTGTTTATGTTATCTATATTTCATTATTTAACATATTTTATATTAAACCACTTAAAAAAATGATATATAATATATCATTTTTTAAGTGGTTTGTTTTTATTATTAATTATTAACTAAAACTTTTATTTTTAAATTCTTTTAACATAAAACAAGGCAGATAGAACCCTATAATTCTCATGCGACGATTTGCAAAAAGCAGCCCAATTTCAAAGTGGTGAACAGTTTTTTGAAGATTGAGAAGTAATCTTTATAAAGTAGTTGTTTTTGTTTTAATGAATGGCTTCAATTAATTATTCTTATGTTATGAAATTCTCACCTGAAGTTTGAATAATAGGTTAATGGGTGAAAAAAGAAATAGATGAGTGTATTACCTAAATGCACCAATCCTGATTTAAAGTAAAAGCTGTTGTTACCAACAATCATTCTATTAACGTTATGCATTTTCAGAGTTTCATAAAGCATATGCTGGAGATAAAAAATTGTTTAACATGCAGTTTATAACGTAGTATTTATTTCATTCAAAAGAGAATTTCTTTTAATTCACTTCCTTCATCTTGTTTTCCTGATTCATATAATTTTCGGTCTTTTAAGTCGTTTTTTAATTGTTATCTTGTTTTATAAACTTCATCTTTTCTCTTCCAGTAACTTCCAACTTTAACAGTAATTGCCTAAAGCCTTGTTGGAAGTGAAGACGTTTAAAAAAAAAGCACATTTATACAAAATGTAAAAAACAACTTTTTTAAATTCAAATATCGGTGAAAATGAAATAATCATATTAAAAAGAAATACAAGGCCATTAAAACAATTTTACAAAATTTTAATTTCTTATTGGTTTATATTACAGGATGGCCACTCAAATTTGAAAATGAAAATCCATGACTTTTCCATGTCTTTTCCATGACTTTTCCATGTCTTTTCCATGACTTTTCCATGACTTTTCCATGACTTTTTCATGACTCTTCATAATATTTTATGATAAATCACTAGAGTAAAATATACAGTACTTGCTATGCACTAAGCGTTTCAGTACTTGCTATGTACTAAGCATGTGCAACTTGATCATTATAAAACATGAAAACCAAAAACTAATTGGTAGAAAGTACTGAAATCATGTCTGAAAAAAAATCTTTTTCTTTTACTTCTCTGATAACTTACACTGTAAAAATATTTTTTTCAAAAATGACTTAGACTAGACATACTAGTACTTTTATTTGCATTCTAAAAATATTACAAGTAGAAAAAAATAAAGATAATTTTAAAAAGTTCCATGATCTTTCCATGACTTTCAATGAAAATTTAGGAATTCCGTGACTTTTTCCATGACCAAATAAAATTTCATGACATTTCCATGATTTCTATGACCGGTGCCCATCCTGTATTAGTCTACTGAAACCATATATCAAAAACATCTTAAAATGCGCAACCTTTTTTATAACACTTACTTTTACACAAGCAGAAAAACACTAGTCCGCAAATGTGATTAACTTTAAATTACACTCTCATATATAGATAAAAATTTACAACTAATTTTTATGAGCTCAGCTGAACGCAGTCAGTTCTAGGCTCTGTAAATGACATTGAATCACGGTCCGAATTAAATGTAATTTCGGTCCGAATTAAATGTAATTTTGAGACCATAACAAACTGTGCGTTTGTTATGGTCTCAAAATTACATTTAATTCGGAACTTAGAGAGACCTTTACTTTTTGGAAATTACGATTTAGAAATGGTCTCAAAGTTACTTGTAATTCGGACCGTAGAGAAAACTTTACTTTTCGGATACTTTGATTCAGAAATGGTCTCTAAGTTACTTGTAATTTGGACCGTAGAGAAAACTTTACTTTTCGGATACTTTGATTCAGAAATGGTCTCAAAGTTACTTGTAACTCGGACCATAGAGAAAACTTTACTTCTTAACAATATTTTTTCCTGCTTCGTACATCGTTTTTATATCACGACTTATATCACTGTTATATCACCCAAAACAAATTTTTAACCACTCATTTATTTTAAATTTATCTGGCTTTGTTACAGTATTTAGTTTGTCTTACTGCAATATTCATTAATAAATACTCATCTGCTTATTTTCATATTATTACTGATTACTATGAATTTTTATGTTATATTATTTTGCATTTATTACTCAGCTTTGTTTTATTTTTCATATGCACAATTTTCATCTTTTATTATTATTCTGAGGATTTTTCTATATCCTACATTAAATGTTTACATTTATTCTTGAGACATTTTTAAGGTTTTTGTGCGCCGATTTTTTTTGCAATTATGTATTGTTCAATTATTGTTATGATTTTGGCTTTCGCGGGTTTCTCATTTTCCTACACTTTTGATTGGTTATCATACTTCGAATGAGGTATCTATGACAGTGTTAGAATTTATTTAAGGCTATTGTTGTTTTGTTGATTAAAAAAACTTTTCTTAATGAGGTATACTGTTTTCTGATTATCATTGGCTTGTTTATGCTAATAATACCTATTTGGTTTTACATCTTAAAATGAATTTATTGATATTTTTATGTTTCTATTAGAATTTTAACTTATTTTATTTTCATGTTTTCATTCGGTGGTAAGGTAAGTGATTTATTTAGTTATTTTTATTTATATTGTACAGTAGATCTACACTTTTCACATCATATCATTAAAAAAATATTAATGTTTTACAAATTTGGGTATGGTTAGGTTTTGGCTATTTGTAGTGAGTCCTTTTTTACTGCAGTATGGATAAGGCGTAAGTCGCGGGGTAAAGCACAAGTGGCGACGATGTTTGTCTGACAGGATAAACTAGTTTAAAGTGCTGATCCTCATCAAAACGCCAGTAATAATAGACGCGACTCTGAGGAGATGTTTTTTTCTTTATCACTACATTAATTATGTTTACACATTAGCATTAATGTTTTTTTTCCATTCTGAGGCCTTACATTGTTGTATGCATACTTTTTGTTTTTGTTTATCAATTTTTTTGTATATCAAGTTTTTTAAGTTTTTGTTTGATTATCTATTTGTTGTATATCTTCATTCGTACTAGTTTTTATGAAACAATTTTTTTGTTATTATTATTGTGAGTACTGCTTTGGTGCGTTGTCTGTCTTAATTGTTTTGAAATTTTCCTCTATTAATCTTTATTTTTGTCTTGACAACTGTCAAAATATACTTCATTTGATAAATAATTCTCCTTTATTTTAGTGTACTTCATTTCTTCCCTCGGGTGTTCACTGCTTGTGTGTGAGCATTTTATGCCAAAGTATTTAAATAAAAACTGAAGAAGATGCATAAAAAAAAAAAACGGTTTTAGATTTTTAATCAATCAAATCTTGTTATAATCTTTTTTAAATCTTTTTTAAATATTTATTTATCGTAATTTTATATAGTACTTTTAATGTTGTTGTGGAAAGTTATGGAACGTTCTATGACGACTAATTTTAGTTTTTTTATTAGTAACTATTTTTGTTATGTTTTAACAGTTTTTAATGTACATTTTTGTGAACTTTTTGTGAATTTTAAGTGAACATGTGAAAAAAGATGATTTATGGAAGAGGAGATTTGATATTTGTATTTATGTACGCAAAAAGTTTTTATTCATATAAAAAAGAAGAGTTTAGTTTAGTAAAGAGAAACTAGTTTGTTTATGAGAAAAAAGAGTTTTTAAAATTTTGTTGTGTTGAAAGCAAGAAAACTAAATGATCTGGTACTTTTAGTTTTAATGTCGTCTAAATAACTTTTCTAAAATGCAATTTTCATCTAGAAAATTGTATAAGTTTGTCAAATGTGTTTTGTTCCTTAAAATAATGCCCAAAAAATGAAAAAACAGTATATTATTTGTGAAAAATAGTAATTTTATACATCCTAATATTTATTTTTTACACTAAAACCACAAAAGATGGCAGCTAAATTTACGGAGGATCTATTATTACAAGAAAGTAAAACTAAGAACAATAATAATGCAAATCAAACAGAGACTATTATTTACCTAAATGATTTTGAAAGCTTTCTACTAGATTTCGCCGAATCGCAAGTAAACTTGAGAATGGAACACTCAAAAATTTTTATGAATGCATAAACAACATTCATAAAAGAAAAAAAGGAGCAGATATGGAAAGTATTTACAAAGAAGTATTGAAATATTTTGAAAATCGGTTAGAAAAACTACATGTAAGTGAGTTTCTTAATTTACTTGTTTCAAAAAACCTTTTAAGTTGCTCAATAAAAAATGGTAAGGATTTGTATAAAGTACTCATAGCTTCTGAAACAAAATCAGAACCTGATCTTTGTATAATCAATCACAAAAAAATTAAAACCTTAAAATCTGAAATTAAAATTTTGAATTATGAATTAAAAAACTTAAAAAGCAGTAAAATTAGTCTTTCAATTTTAAAAGATGAAAATTTATTTCTAAAAGAGGAGTTCTTGGAGTTCAGGAAAATTATTGTCATTTTAATCAATAAGCTAGAAGTCAAATCAACCGTGACTGATTTAAAATCAACTCAAAACTTTTTGATTTTTATAGCTCATTAAA